AAGGTGTGAAGGTGTTTTTACATCGCAGGTGAAAAGATACCAACAGTGCGGGGAGCAAAAAGGTGTGAAGTGTTTTTACATGGCAGGTGAAAAGATACCAACAGTGCAGGAGCAAGGTGTGAAGTGTTTTTACATGGCGGGTGAAAAGATACCAACAGTGCGGGAGCAAGGTGTGAAGTGTTTTACATGGCAACAGGTGAAAGATACCAACAGTGCAGGAGCAAGGTGTGAAGTGTTTTACATGGCAGGTGAAAAGATACCAACAGTGCGGGAGCAAGGTGTGAAGTGTTTTACATGGCAGGTGAAAAGATACCAACAGTGCGGGAGCAAGGTGTGGCGTGTTTTACATGGCGGGTGAAAAAAGATACCAACAGTGCGGGGCAAGGTGTGAAAGTTTTACATCGCAGGTGAAAAGATACCAACAGTGCGGGAGCAAGGTGTGAAGTGTTTTACATGGCAGGTGAAAAGATACCAACAGTGCGGGAGCAAGGTGTGAAGTGTTTTACATCGCAGGTGAAAAGATACCAACAGTGCGGGAGCAAGGTGTGAAGTGTTTTTACATGGCAGGTGAAAAGATACCAACAGTGCGGGAGCAAGGTGTGAAGTGTTTTTACATGGCAGGTGAAAAGATACCAACAGTGCAGGGAGCAAGGTGTGAAGTGTTTTTACATCGCGGGTGAAAAAGATACCAACAGTGCAGAGCACAAGGTGTGAAAGGTGTTTTTACATCGCAGGTGAAAAGATACCAACAGTGCGGGAGCAAGGTGTGATGTTTTTGAAGTACATCGCAGGTGAAAAAGATACCAACAGTGCGGGAGCAAGGTGTGAAGTGTTTTACATCGCAGGTGAAAAGATACCAACAGTGCGGGGCAAGGTGTGGGAAGTGTTTTTACATGGCAGGTGAAAAGATACCAACAGTGCGGGAGCAAGGTGTGAAGTGTTTTACATGGCAGGTGAAAAGATACCAACAGTGCGGGAGCAAGGTGTGAAGTGTTTTACATCGCAGGTGAAAAGATACCAACAGTGCGGGAGCAAGGTGTGAAGTGTTTTACATCGCAGGTGAAAAAGATACCAACAGTGCAAGGAGCAAGGTGTGAAGTGTTTTACATCGCAGGTGAAAAGATACCAACAGTGCGGGAGCAAGGTGTGAAGTGTTTTACATCGCAGGTGAAAAGATACCAACAGTGCGGGAGCAAGGTGTGAAGTGTTTTACATGGCAGGTGAAAAGATACCAACAGTGCGGGAGCAAGGTGTGAAGTGTTTTTACATGGCGGGTGAAAAGATACCAACAGTGCGGGAGCAAAAAGGTGTGAAGTGTTTTTACATCGCAGGTGAAAAGATACCAACAGTGCGGGACAAGGTGTGAAGTGTTTTACATCGCAGGTGAAAAGATACCAACAGTGCGGGAGCAAGGTGTGAAGTGTTTTTACATCGCAGGTGAAAGATACCAACAGTGCAGGGCGGAGCAAGGTGTGAAGTGTTTTTTACATCGCAGGTGAAAAGATACCAACAGTGCGGGAGCAAGGTGTGAAGTGTTTACATCGCAGGTGAAAAGATACCAACAGTGCAGGGACAGCAAGGTGGGAAGTGTTTTTACATCGCAGGTGAAAAGATACCAACAGTGCGGGAGCAACAGGTGTGAAGTGTTTTACATCGCAGGTGAAAAGATACCAACAGTGCAGGGGAGCAAGGTGTGAAGTGTTTTTACATCGCAGGTGAAAAAGATACCAACAGTGCGGGAGCAAGGTGTGAAGTGTTTTACATCGCAGGTGAAAAAGATACCAACAGTGCAGGGAGCAAGGTGTGAAGTGTTTTATCGCAGGTGAAAAGATACCAACAGTGCGGGAGCAAGGGTGTGAAGTGTTTTACATGGCGGGTGAAAGATACCAACAGTGCGGGAGCAAGGTGTGAAGTGTTTTTTGAAAAGATACCAACAGTGGCAAGGTGAAAGGCATACCAACAGTGAGCAAGGAGCAAGGTGAAAAAGATTACCAACAGAGCAGTGTTTTTACATGGCGGGTGAAAAGATACCAACAGTGCGGGGCAAGGTGTAAGTGTTTTTTAGCGGGTGAAAAGATACCAACAGTGCAAGGGAAGCAGGTGTGAGCAAGGTGTTTTTACATCGCAGGTGAAAAGATACCAACAGTGCAGGAGCAAGGTGTGAAGTGTTTTTATGGCGGGTGAAAAGATACCAACAGTGCGGGGAGCAGGTGTGAAGTGTTTTTACATCGCGGGTGAAAAAGATACCAACAGTGCGGGAGCAAGGTGTGAAGGTGTGAAGTGTTTTTTTACATGGCAGGTGAAAAGATACCAACAGTGCGGGGAGCAAGGTGTGAAGTGTTTTTACATGGCGGGTGAAAAGATACCAACAGTGCGGGAGCAAGGTGTGAAGTGTTTTTACATCGCAGGTGAAAAGATACCAACAGTGCGGGAGCAAGTGTGAAGTGTTTCAAGGTGTGTGAAGGTGTTTTTACATGGCGGGTGAAAAGATACCAACAGTGCCGTTTTAGATGGCAGGGGGAGCAAGGTGTGAAGTGTTTTACATCGCAGGTGAAAAGATACCAACACAGTGCGGGAGCAAGGTGTGAAGTGTTTTACATGGCGGGTGAAAAGATACCAACAGTGCGGGAGCAAGGTGGCAGAAGTTTTTACATCGCAGGTGAAAAGATACCAACAGTGCGGAGCAAGGTGTGAAGTGTTTTTACATCGCGGGTGAAAAAGATACCAACAGTGCAGGGAGCAAGGTGAAGTGTTTTTACATCGCAGGTGAAAAGATACCAACAGTGCGGGAGCAAGGTGTGAAGTGTTTACATGGCAGGTGAAAGATACCAACAGTGCGGGAGCAAGGTGTGAAGTGTTTTTACATCGCAGGTGAAAAAGATACCAACAGTGCGGGGAGCAAGGTGTGGCGTTTTACATCGCAGGTGAAAGATACCAACGGTGCGGGAGCAAGGTGTGATGTTTTACATCGCAGGTGAAAGATACCAACAGTGCGGGTGAAAAGCAAAGTGTGGGAGCAAGGTGTTTTTTACATCGCAGGTGAAAGATACCAACAGTGCGGGAGCAAGGTGTGAAGTGTTTTACATCGCAGGTGAAAAGATACCAACAGTGCGGGCAGCAAGGTGTGAAGTGTTTTACATCGCGGGTGAAAAGATACCAACAGTGCAGGAGCAAGGTGTGAAGTGTTTTACATCGCAGGTGAAAGATATACCAACAGTGCGGGAGCAAGGTGGCGTGTTTTTACATCGCAGGTGAAAAGATACCAACAGTGCGGGGAGCAAGGTGTGAAGTGTTTTACATCGCAGGTGAAAGATACCAACAGTGCGGGAGCAAGGTGGCAGAAGTGTTTTACATCGCAGGTGAAAAGATACCAACAGTGCGGGAGCAAGGTGTGAAGTGTTTTACATCGCAGGTGAAAAGATACCAACAGTGCGGGAGCAAGGTGTGAAGTGTTTTACATCGCAGGTGAAAAGATACCAACAGTGCGGGAGCAAGGTGTGAAGTGTTTTACATCGCAGGTGAAAAAGATACCAACAGTGTGGGGAGCAAGGTGTGAAGTGTTTTTTACATCGCAGGTGAAAAGATACCAACAATTGGGGAACAAGGTGAAGTGTTTTACATCGCAGGTGAAAAGATACCAACAGTGCGGGAGCAAGGTGTGAAGGTGTTTTACATGGCGGGTGAAAAGATACCAACAGTTGCGGGAGCAGGTGTGAAGTTTTTACATCGCAGGTGAAAAGATACCAACAAGGTGCAGGTGAAAAGATACCAAGGTGTGGGAGAAGTGAAGGTTTTACATCGCGGGTGAAAAAGATACCAACAGTGCGGGAGCAAGGTGTGAAGTGTTTTACATCGCAGGTGAAAAAAGATACCAACAGTGCGGGGAGCAAGGTGTGAAGTTTTACATCGCAGGTGAAAAGATACCAACAGTGCGGAGCAAGGTGTGAAGTGTTTTACATCGCAGGTGAAAAGATACCAACAGTGCGGGAGCAAGGTGTGAAGTGTTTACATCGCAGGTGAAAAGATACCAACAGTGCGGGGATACCAACAGTGCAGGGAAAAAGGTGTGAAGGTGTTTTTTATATCGCAGGTGAAAAAGATACCAACAGTTACTTGAGCAAGGTGTGAAGTGTTTTACATCGCAGGTGAAAAGATACCAACAGTGGGGAGCAAGGTGTGAAGTGTTTTGGGAAAAAAGGTGTGGAGCTGTGAAGAGTCTTCCTGTGACAGATCGTCACCGTGGGGATTGAAATCCAGCAAAAAAGCGGAGGTGGGCCTCCAAGGAGAATAGACCAGTGTGGGCTCCACGGAAAATTTAAGGTGTGGTGTATGCATTTTTGATTGATGCCTAGATTAATGTGGCCGCTTACTATATATGAGGTGGCACTGTCTAGAGTTGAGATTATTGAGAGGAAAAATAGTAAATGCATACGGAAGTTGCCTGGTGTTGCAAGGATTCTGTCGCCGGTCGCTTTGTATGGTAGTTCGGGAGGCCTTCAGTTACCTATTAGTTCTTTGGTGGAGGAGTACAAGGTGGCAAAGATGAGTCTAGGGATGCTGTAATCCGGAAGAATGTGCCAGAGATGAAGACAGGAAGAAAGTAGAAAGTGTCAGATGTCATGTCAGCAGTGGAAGTGATGGTAAAGCAGGCAAAAGTTCAAGGTGTTGCAAAGAACGGATGTGCTGGACTTGGTCTAGTTGCGAGGGAGAGATTCTGGTCAGAGGCCAGTAGACAGGAGCGACGTAAATTACAGGAACAAGGGGCTCGAAAGCTCGCAGAGGAGAGACATTTAGTGCGGACTGTCCAGCAGACTCAGCAGGGTCGATGGCTTAACTGGGAGGGTATTGATGGGAGTTCAGATAAGTTGGTCTAATTGGTGGCGTCTAGGCGAAGGACATTTGAGGTTCCTCATACAGGCAGCATATGATGTAGCAGCATCAGCGGCAAATTTGAAGAGATGGTGAGTGCAGGAATAACCACCCTGTCGGCTGTGTGGTGCTTATGGAAAGCTGCGCCACATACTGTCAGCCTGTCCAAAGGCGCTACAGAATGGCTGGTACACCTTCAGACATAACTGAGTTCTGGAGGTCGTGGCAGCAGTTGCAAGAAATGCTAGCACACCTTCGTTGGACCTGCGAAGGGTAGCCTTCCTGAAGCAAGGTGCAACTGTCACAATGCAGAAGACTAGGTCGGAAAACACAAGGAAGTGGAGAGTGTTGGTTGATGCTACACTGCCAGTGGAGGTTATTGCGTCTGGTCTGAGACCAGATCTGGTTTTAGTTGATATTGAGAAGACCCATCTGTTGATTGGCGAATTGACAGTATCATGGGAAGAAGGGATTGAAGAGGCGCATGAAAGAAAGTGGCTTCGGTATGAGGAACTGGTGGCTGAAGGCGGTGTGAGAGAGGATATGGCTGCACCCTGGTGCCATATGAGATTGGCTGTAGAGGATTTCCTGCTCCATCTCTAAAGAGATTCCTCAAGTGATCCAAAAGCCGGATAAGATGATTGAGGCTTGTGGTGAAAAAACGGTGGAAGGAAGTGTATGGATTACCCAAAAATTCTTATCGAGTCACATCCAATTTACATAGACCGGTTGCAACGTAACATCATTCAGCTGTTGCGAGCCCACCGTGTGGAGAGGTACTGAGCTTAATGGCCCGAAATTTTGATGAAGCACAGCGCTCAGCTGAAGATTGCAGCTGGTCTGGAGCACTTGATGTGTACTTGTGTACTTTTCTC